GCGATCGGTCACGAGACTCACTCGTTCAGTTCTGCCGTGAGCTCTTAATCACAACTGTATGAGTGAGCCACGTAACCAGTCGGTGAGTGTCCTTTAAGCACTGTCTTTTTTATACTGCATTTGTTCGGTTATGCTTATAGCTCGCATTACAGACAGAGCCAGTTATCGAACCGTGGCATATGATGGTATTTAACCTTCCATCGTCGTCGCATTCACCGTAGGTCCATAGGCCTGTGACTCTGACCTTGAATTCCGTTGTAGTTGTCTTGCGATGCCTTTCCAACCGAGGCTCAATATTGCCGGTACGGGATACCATCTGTGACTTCGGGTTCGGGTGCCACACCAGTTACTTGTGCCTGCACTTAGCTGTATCACAATCAGTGGGATTAAAAATTTGACTGGCTCAGTAAATTAATCTTGTTCTTTGTCCCCAAAACTCCGTCTGTAAAATTTAAATTTGGAGGCGTATGTTATTAGATACGGTTCGACCACTGTCTACGAGTAGCGCAGAACACGGGCTTAACTATAAATTGTGTTACATTTTTGACCCATAAGGAAGTCATTGTAATGCGACCCTTAGTGCTGGCAATTGCCAGGCCACCTCTTAAGTGGCCGACCTGGGCCACGGCCGTTTGTGCGTCAACTTAGAAAAAGCTGTGGCAGTGTATTCGTCTTGACTTTTTGCCTCAGTTAACTGCCCGAGTCCGTTGACCAACAAATGATGAACTCGGATTTGGCGGCTGACCTAAAGGGAAAACTCATGTCCACGCGTTCCATGCACCTAATCTGTCTTCATACACAGTAGATGCCCTAGCTCATCAAATGTCAACTGAAATTCTGAAATGAATATTCGATTCGAATAGATTTCTTAAATTGTAGTATTGATTAGCGTGCAGCCTACCCTCTAGATATGTCTGTCACGTGAGGATGCTGGCCTTTGAACAAATTTCTTTCTGATCGTTTGTGGAACGTATACTCTTTGAAGGGGTATTTTTTGGATACTATGCGTCTTTTGTTGATTTTCGAAGTCATTATAAATTCAAATATATTTTATAGAAAGCATATACAAAAAATATTACCTGTTGTACACGTTTGGTAACAAAGTTCGTCTTTTTCAAAGAAAGAAAAAGTTAATAATTGTGGGGTTTTGAAGACATTGAGGTGTTCACTTCTTACACGTCGTATTCGTTAATTTATTAGTGTTGCGTGTAATTTATGCAACATAGTCCACATCCATTGACACATTTGGGTACTATGTGACCTCTTCCTCATGCCATGGAGTGATGCGTAATTTTTCTTAGTCAGAATCTATACAGCATCTACTTTGGAAACCTGGAATTTAAGTGTGACGGGCGGGGGGGGAGGGGGGCTCAACATTTATAGGCACTTAAGAAATTTAAAAAAAATGAAGGGCACCATCCCCGCAGGTGTGAATTTAAAGAAGGCAGAATTAGCTAGTAAACATGTACAAACAATATTTTGTGCATTTTTCTATAAAATATATTTGAATTTATAAGTTTGTGTTTTGCCGGGGCTCAGAAACCAACTCCTTCAAAGGCTGGCATTCTGAGTGACGAAAATATCTTGGGATTATGCTGCACACTAATCGAGCTTGCAAGCCTACTTACGTTTTCTCTTTTTCGGATCGAAAACACCTTTTCGAATTTTGGGTGACATTTTATTAGGCAGGGAATCTACTGTACTGCGTATAATTGAGATCTGCATTTTCTCACGCACGACGTTTTTGTCCTTCACAGGGAGTGCTGTTCAAGTTGCAACATATGGATGTTTAACTAATAGCCAAACCGCAGTGCCTGAAACTCCTAGGAAGGCAAAAGTAGGTTAGGCATGAGTAGGGAGTATTTGTTAGGTTACTAGGCATTTGTTTGCCAGTAGCTGCGCTATAGGTTCGCAAATAGCCGACTCAGTCAGAATAGTTACCGCTCGAGGCTACGTTTAAGTTTTTGTTAATGGTTGTGGTGTTTTCAGGGGAGAGGAGGCGTGTTCGTAGTGTCAGTTCCACTGTATCTGGCGAGGTCAGAGGAAGCCTATCTTTGCCCTGAATATTTGTTGGCCATGTGGAAACGAAGATAGGGTTTCGGCGCTTGCGTCGTTGCTCTCTATCACCTCAACCTTGCGGTGGTCTACCCCGGCGCCTATTATTCAGTTGGCTTTGAAGATCACTGTTTTGTGGTCCGTCACGTTTGCCAATGTTGTGCGATAATTCTCCAGGGCTTGGGGTTCACTTTTAGTACTTCAGACCGACAGTCTTGCCTGTAGGAGCGCAGCGATCTTGTGGTCGCTTGGGCAGATGTTTGTTGGCCATCGACAAAAACCGGGAAAACAATTCGGGAAGGTATAATTCGCGGCTACGCCGATAAAAAGAGAATACTCAGGTAGCTGTACTGTTTCTAATTTATTTTTCAAAAAGGGAAACTTCCACAATATTTACTTCATTAGCTCCATGTTGCCAAGTCGTAGCATTTTGGGTCAATGGCTCCCCTTGAGTTCAGTTGAGAGCAAAGTCCCATGCCAACGCATGTCAGTTGATATCCCAGCCCCAAAGGCCACATGGTCAGAAGTTTGGTCACGCCCTGCCTTCACAGCGATCGCCCATGTCTTCCAGTAGCCGCCCCAGCGCATTTGTCGACTAGTTTATAGGGAAATGATACCATTGATAAAATTGTATCGGAG